CATTCTAGGCCCAGTAACAGACTGCTCTCTCTCTCTCTCTCTCTCTCTCTCTCTCTCTCTCTCTCTCTCTCCTGACTGCCTTGGAGGGGGAGCATTCATGAAGGAGGAAGTTAGAAAGTAGTCTGTGGGTCAAGCCTGGGTGGTGAGGAAGATGCAGTATTGGAAACTGGTTTGTAGACAAATGACATTAAGGTTGACTCTGGACATATTGAGGTGACAGTACTAGGTAACATTTATATGGATATATGTTTCAGCAAATGTAAGGTGGCAGGCTGGAACTTAAGACCAATCAACGACTGAAAGGCAGCTAGATGGAAAGTACATGAGATCATACTTGTATCTCAGACAGACCACATAGAGGAGTAGTCAGAGATTCTGAGTTGGATTTGATTCTCATTTAGAAGTCACATAACATCTCTCTGAGCCTTGTTATCAGAACTATTAAACATAGATAATGTCACCACAGACCTCATAGAACAGTAGATATTAAGTATGAAAAGATCCACAAAGCACAGAGCACAATGGCCAGCACACAGCAATATAGATGGTAGTGATGGTGACAGCAATGACCCGCAAAAAGACCCCAGGTGCAAAACACCCACAGATATCCAAATATCATTTTAGGGGGTTGTTAAGAGGGAAAGATGAAGAAATAGGAGAGGAAAGGAGAGGAAAGGAGGGGAGGGGAGGGGAGGGGAGGGGAGAGGAGAGAAGAGGAGACCACACATTTTCAATAGGCTTCGACATGAGCAGACGGGTGATTTCACCTATAAAAAAGGTCTCTGGCCATTGGCCTATTCCTTTCCCCCATGTATTCTTTACCAAAGGTGTCAATCCAGCAATGGGGTAAGAATTCAGGGTAGGACATTTCTGAAAATGAATTTACTTGGGCTTAGCATTAAAGGAGCCGTCAACCAGCCTTAGCATAAAGGGAGCTGGCAATCACCCAAGCTCAAACTGGAAAAGGCCAAAACACTCCCAAGACAGCTGTACAGAAAACACAAAACTGAAATGAGAGATGACCAGTTTGCTGACAAGTCCTCAACTGAGCATTTTGAACACCTCGTCAGGCCTGTCTTTTGGCCATATCCTCACATCAGAACTCATTCGCTCTACTTAAGCTATTCAGCACCTTTTAAAGGAAACATCAATGCACCTGCCCACCAAGACAAGGGAGAATTATTCAGGAGGGGAGGACTGAATGGAGATAAATATTTATAATTTATCACTTAACTCCTCCTTCATTCCTGCACAACCAATATAATTTTTGCAGGTGAGCCAGGTTCTCTGGGCTTAGAAATGGATGAATGAATCTAGCCACCAAAAATGTAAAGGTGCAGCGAAGTATAAGAAGCCCACCCACTTAGCTCATCACCTCTCCTCCTGACCACCTGGCAGAAGGCTGACTTTGTCCTCTAGCATCCCACATCACCTTTCTGCTTTTCCTCCTGCCAGTGTAATATAGTTCTGTTTCTAGGGTTTTCCCTGTTTTCCCTAGTTTCACCTTTATTAGCTGTAGCCTACTACCCCTAGTGTTTTTTTTTTTCTTTTATCATGACAGGGTTTGTCTGTATACCCGTGGCTGGTACTCTGGAACTCACTCTGTAGACCAGGCTGGCCTCGAACTCAGAAATCTGCGTACCTCTGCCTCTCAAGTGCTGGGATGAAAGGCATGTGCCATCACTGCCCGGCTGCCCCTAGTCTTAATATTCCATCTCCCACAAATACAAAAATTGCAACACTGAAAAAAAGAAGAGTGATGGACATCCCAAAAATCTACAGTTAGTAAAATTAAGCAATTCTTCAATCCTCTCCCTTTCTCTTTCATCATCGCCCTGGTACAGCTGATACCCCAAATTCAGTTATATATAAAATCCAGCAATTATGGGACATCTTATCCTACCTCCCCTGTGCCTGAAACATACATCACAAGAAAGGATCTTAGAACAGTCTACAGTGGAGTAAAACACATTTCCACATAGCAAGTCTACTTCCAGAGACTCTATTTCTGTTAGCCACCATATGATATCATGCATAAGACTGGAATTAGGGGGACACAGAAAGATCCATAACATTGAATATAGGGTTCATTGAAGGGCATCAATGTCAATGGCCTTTTAATTTTTTATTTTTACATGCTATTAAAAGCAGTAACTTCTGGCAGGTCCTATATATTCATCGAATCAACAGTTTTCACCCCCATGCATGAATAATTTAAAAATACACATTGATAGGTTGGTAAAATGGTAAAAAAAAAAAGTCATCTACCTTTACTTCTACCTACAGAAAGGAAGCAGAAGGTCCAGTTAAGGAGAGGAAGCATGGTGTCCACCATGGAGGCGGCAAGAGAGAGCAAGAGAAAGAGAGTGGACATCAGCACACTGCAGACACACTGAGAAATCATATACATGGCAAATCACAGGACAGACAGCACAGGAAGTTACCCCATAGCATTCTCCGGGAGACAGCACAAAGCAAATGCATGATAGGAGGCTTAAGGATCAAATGCTGGAGCCAGCCAGGCTGTTTCCATTGGCTTCATGTTCAAGTATCCCATTCATGTCTTCTGTTTTCTCCTTCGAAACATGGCAAAGTATACATGCAAAAAGCACTGCACAGCCCCATGGATGTGAAATTGCAACACACATAACCAATATTATGAAACATGGTTAGGCAAAGTCTTTGAGAATCTTGGTTCTCTTATATTTTCCCAACATTCACCGGAGATGTGAGGACCTAGAATGTGACATACAATATAAGACATGTACACACAACACACATAAATACCACATGTGTTTGTGGATATGAGATATTGATTCCAGAGATTTAGTGGGAGCTGGATAAAAGCCCTATCTCCTATGTGCAGGAGGAGGGCATGGGGCACTGCTAGAGAGAAGAGCAATGGTTTTAAAAGTAGTCATTGTAAAGGGAAGAATGGATAAGGGGGTAGAAAAAATGAGAGAAAGAGGAATGGAGAAGCCAAAAGGTTTTCTTAAGTCGAATTAAGCCTCTAATAGCAACTTAAAAATCTTAGCAGCACCATCACCCGGAAGAATGCTGCATCTTTTTCTGAAAACCCCTCAAAGGAGGAATTTATAGCATCTGGGTTTGCATGATTCTTTTTCTTTTTTTCTTTTCTAGAAGAAATATTAGGTGAGAGCACAGTTGTTCTTGAATGCCTCACAAGTGTACATGTGGGGATAGAGTAAGGTGTATACTACAGAGTCTCCAAGTGCTGTTCATATCAACAGTAGAATCTAGCCTTTCTATGATGCACTTGTGTGTCTGAAATAAGCTAAGGTCACATCAGCCCAGCCTCCTGCTCTGTGATACTAGCAATATACTATGTTTAGTGCGTAGAGGCACTTGAAATGCTGGGAGACCTCAAGAAGAGAACCCAGGAGAAGAAGGCTGGAGAACACAGGAGGCAGTTCTGTCATCAAGACTGATGCGCTGCTTTTATGGTGTCACTTGTCATCAAGTTTGGACCATTAAATTCTGGCAATTCATAGAACTCTGCTCTTCTTACTTCAAAGGAAAAGGCTCCGATTTCTCAAACTGTCCAAATACTAGGTCCATAGCAAGTCTGTTCTCTATTCATATTCACTTGGTGAGAGTACTTGCTTCTCTCTGCCAGTGATGGGAACAGACAGCCTTCATTCTAGATCCTTACATAACCTTGGAGAACCCATCTGACCTTCCCCTTCAGATAGATATACAGTGATTTCTACTTTCTACAAAACCAACACTGTCTTGGAATTTACGGAGTCCACACCTTGGCTCATGCTGTGGAAAACACTTATATCAGAAAAGCATACTTAATCATTCAGGATGCCCTCAACTGGCCACCTGCAACTGCTAAACAAAGTCTTTCAGTCCTGGATGGTTACTTGATCTGGTGGTATCTCCCTTATGGCCAAATCATCTGATAGTTGGATTTGAGGGACTAGGGGACAGAAAGTGGCCATACATTCTCCAAAGATCAAGAAAAAAAGAATCACACATGGAACCACACCTTTCTTTTCTTTGATCCTCTCAAAGGAGAATTGAGTCTGATATGTGTTTTGAAAAGAAACAGATAAGAAAAATTAAAGAGCCATCTTTTGGTGACAGGGCAAGGCAGGTAGACCAATCTTGCAATCACCTCAAGGCTTGGAAGAAACACAATAGTAGCAATTGAACAGTGAAGCAAAAGACAATTTTAAGTGGGCTCAGTTCTCAGATCCTGATTTGGGTTGATAATGTGGAAAATTTTTACTTAGGAGAAAAAGCTTCATTCACAGCCCACCCCAAGCTTAACCAAGCTGAATTTCCTGCATACTTCATTCCCTGCATATTTGAATATTTTAGGTTGCAGATGCTGAATTTACAGATCTTTATATGCAGTTTTCTTCAGGGTGTATAATGAGTTAGAATCCTGCCATGAGAACATTAGCATGATCTTGTGGTGATTCTTTTTTTTTCTTTAATATAAAAATTAATACATCAAAACCCCCAAACAGCTTCTTTTGACCAGAAAAGGCAGAGAATTGTTAAGATGGCAGTGGAATGGAAGAGTGGACACACAGGAAACCTTTATCCAGAGTAAAGTTCAAGGAGAAACCTAGATCCTTGCTCCCAAGCTGGGCCTCAGCTTGGGGCCAGGGGAAGAGCAGGAGGAAGTTAACCGCCTGGTTGCTCTGAAATTAGCTCCATTCACCCCCATTATCATGCCTTGTTTCATGCTTTCCTCTTAGAGGCAGCCCAGCAGGGCCAGCACCCCACCTGGCCCAGATGACAAATGATGAGGAGGAATGGAGAAGCTAAGAGTAGGAGGTGGGATACCATGATGCATCAGGAAAGGTGTTCCTCCATAGCAAAGTGAACCCTGCTGCCAGCTTGGCCCACATCAGGAGGCACAGGCAGCAAATGGCCTTCTATGGAGGAGGTTCTGAATGAGCAGCCAGAGGCGCAGAGGCAAGCAGTTCGGCCATCTCAGGACCACAGCATAAGGCACCTACCTTGTTCACTCATCATAAGATGGGAGAGGCCTGGGGAAGAGAGGAGAGAGGAGAGAGGAGAGAGGAGAGAGGAGAGAGGAGAGAGGAGAGAGGAGAGAGGAGAGAGGAGAGAGGAGAGTGGAGAGGGGAGAGAGGAGAGGGGAGAGGAGAGAGAGGAGAGGAGAGAGGAGAGAGAGAGGAGAGAAAGAAAAAAGAGAAAAGATGGTTAAAATCACAAAAGCAAAGCAACCTTCTCTAAATTCTTGCACAGAAAAATGTATAGAGAGGACACATGCACACACTAAGTAGCATGCACACCCTGTACACCAGCCCCCACACTCTGGGAGCAGACTGGCTTTCCCATCTAAAAAGCAGGTTTCTGTTTGCTGAATAATACTGAGGACTTTATTTTTATTGTTATTCTAGGCAATCCGTAGGATTTGTGATAGATCTATTAAGATTAAGTCTCTGGGAAAGAGACTCAAAGTATCAGCTGGTTTCTTTCTTTCAAAATACTTGCATCAGTAATACATGTTCACTGGAGAAACTGGGGGAAAGCCCAAGGGATAAACAAAGAAAACAATCAGTTATAATCTCACCATCTAGAGAGTACCATCCATTTCTTTCCCTACCCATTGTATTGTTCTCTATAGAAATTGCATGATATTGAACACATCAACAGACTTCCTACTTGCAAGGATTGCTCAAACTACCTTAAGACCATTTCTGTCTTGTTCAGATTAACCAGTAATGACCATACTCCATCCAGAGGTACTCGTCTGTTGTCATAGAAGGTCCATGTTCGATGAGGGAAGCTGATCCCTGAAGTGAATGGGTTAAAGAAGTCATACAATGTCCGAGTAAACAGTTAACAGGACTGCTGAGGAATCCTTACTGGAGGCAAATTCAGCTCTGTGAGACTCCTCAGGACAAGAGAACCAGCAGCTCTAATAAACCTAACAGAAAAAGGTTTTTAACCAGTAGAGAACTGTATGGATTGTTTGCTCTAAAGCTGTTTCAATACCACTGAAAATATTTCACAAAACCCAGATCACCCCCGAGATCCTCTACTTGAAGCAAAACTCAGGGATATAGAGGATTAATAAAGGACAAAAACCCCTCTAAAGTATGGAAATCTCTAAATGTTTTTGGAGATTACTAGAGATTTGGAAAAGTAATCAGGGGCTAAATGTAGGTCAAGAAACTGACTTTTAAAAGATCAGTGATATATTAAATACATAGATACACGTGCCATAAATGTCATGGAGTCTATTTTTGAAACAAATTTCATTAAACTATAATCATATTTTAAAAGCTCAGGTTCTGGCATTCAGGGTGGTAGGAGCAGGATTAACAGTCGTGGAGGAATGGAACCATGCCAAAGCAGGTGAGCCTCACAATTTGCTTTGTTAAAAAAAAAAAAGAAAAGAAAAATGTTCTCTTTTTCTTTGGTTTCTTTTTTCTTCCAATCTTCTGCAGGACAGAGGAATAGAAAGAAGAGAGCAAAAAGAAGCTTAGATTTGTGTAAGAGAAGATACACAGAAACAACCTTTCCTCCATAGCTAATGCTTCTGGGCCAAGTCTTAGGCACCAGCATCATAGTCAAAAGCACAAAAGGGAAAGGATGTGGGGCAGGTGCTAGCATCTGTGAAAATAGAAGTGACGAGGAGGGGACATACATGTATTCAGAGAGCTCTATCACTTTAGGAAATAAGAGTAAAGATCTGGAAAGATACCTCAGAATAAAACAGGGTGCATAAAAGGCTTTTTGGTTGTTTTGGGGTGGGGGAAACAACTATTTTACTCCTGAGACTGAAAATGTTTATAGCTTCAACAAGAGTAGGAAGATGTGAGACTCCATCTGATCCAAAAAGTGTATGTAACATATTAACCCAGTAAAGGGTAAATGAGCCACTTTGTAATAAACAGTACAAAGGCCCTAGAGAAACCCACCAATAGGGTTCCAGCTAATGTACTTCACCAAAATAAAAAGATAAAGAGTAAAGATACAGGGCTGCATCCCAACTAAGCTAAATTAGAATCCTAGGGTTGGGTAGGGGCTGGGCAAGATCTGAAACTTAAATCAGTGGCTTACAGGATTCCTATGCTCATAGAACTTGGAGAGCTACCCCTTTACAGTAGCATATAAATCAAATGTTAGTAAATTAAATTGTATGATAAATGAAGTAAGAGGAATTAGATGTTTAATGGAACCCTGCTGTGGATCCTTTTGTCTTTTGTGAAGGGAAGAATCCTTTTAAAATGCAAATAACCTACCACCTCTGTGTGAGTGTGTGTGTCTGTGTGTGTGTGTCTGTGTGTATGTATGTGTGTTTTTGTTAATTCAAATATATACTTATCAGTTTTTATTAGGCTACATATCTATATCATTATAGCATTATCAGTCAAGGAAAAGTGTTCATCTTCTTTCTTGTCTAAAAATCTTAAGTAGACATATCAAGCCAGGAATGCAGGCATGGGATCATAATGTCAAACTCTGGTACTGAAGAGAATGGAGCAAAAGGGACAGTCACACAAAGAAACAGTATGCACGAAGGGACAAGGCCATTATATGGTTTGCTTCTTACATTTTGTGAGAATTTTATTTTATTTTTAAGAGTTGCATATTAATGTTGTTTTCTTATACAAACCTATCCTCCAAGCTTACAGAATGGAGCAACCATTAATTCTGGAGTAGTCTTTATTGGTCTAGATTTCTGTTTCTTTTCTACATCTAAACACCATTTTCCGTTCAAAATGTCAGCAATAATTCAAGAAAAAGAGATCATGAGTTAGGGTGGGGAGCATGGAAAGGATTAGAAAGAAGGGAAGAAACGATGTAATTGTATTTTAATTTTTGAAAATAGCAAATAAAAATTTTAGTTCCTTTAACAGCTAATGAAAGTACTAGCAACCCACACCAATCTAATCAATTATTACTATATGCAAAGACTGGGGAATGGAAATACAAGTACAGAAAATTCCTTGGCCTCCAGGAATTTAGCACCTAGCAGGAAAGGAGTGTGTGTGTTTATATTCACACAGATGGCCTGGTACAGGAACATGACAGTGTAGAAGAGGAGATTTAATAAGTCCTTCCAGAGCCAGATTAGACTCTCATCTCTGCCTGCTACTTTATACCTTGTAACTTTAAGAAAATAATTGAATATTTCTCGACTTTGATTTTTTCCTATCTAGAAAATATAGATAATTATGATCATTTCATATATTGCTTTGAGATTTAAAAATATAGTAATATAAGTCTTTGTTAGTGATTCTCAACCTTTGTAGTGTTGAGACCCTTTAATACAGCTCTTTGTGTTGTGGTGATTTCAACCATAAAATTATTTTGTTGTTATTTCATACCTGTAATTTTGCTTCTGTTATGAATCATAATGTAAATATCTAATAGGCAACCCCAAAAGGGGTCAATACCCACCGGTTGAGAAATACTGGTCTATATGCTACACATGGTAAGAGCTATGTAATAATTGCTGTTAGCCTTTTATGCTATAAAAATATATGGACACAGACAAAGAAACATTTATGTATTTAGTATCTGATACTTAGTATATGTTTGACCATTGAATAAAAAATGAAAATACGGAGTATCTAATAGCTAAGTATCAAATTATGAATCTAGGCAATAAGACAAGTAGGGACTGATAAGAGGATGTTGCATATTCAAAGAAAGTTTCTACAAGACAGGAAGAGTTGAAATATGCCTTAGACATGGCTTAAGGACCAGGGGTATGGCTCATTTTTACCTTAGCCTTGCGAATATGAAGACTTGAGTTTGAGCCTTAAAAACCCACATAAAAATGCCAGACATTTTGGCTCATACTTGTAATCCTAGCAAAGAGGAGGGTCCCTGAAGCTCACTGGTCATCTAATCTATTCTGCCTAATCTGTCAACTTTGGGCCAATGACAGAAACTATCTCAAAGAAAGAAGACAACCAAGGTTATTCTTTGACCCCCCACCCCTGACACACATAGGCACACAGATATGCATGCACACATGTGCATTTAAAAAAGAAAAATGGTTTAAAATTTAGAGAGAGAGTTAGCATTCTGGGTAGTACCAAGACCACCCTGTCCTGTTTTCCAGAAACAAGGGTACTTCTGGGCACATGACAGGCATGTAATAGTGCACTGTATTGATAAAGGAATGGACACATATTTTATATTTTTAAAGTAGATAATCCTAATAATCTAAACATGGAAGCCATAAGTTTCAAGACTTGACAGGAAAATAGACTTGATCTTATGGCTGATGGGAGACACTGAGGGTACATGGACAGGCAAATGACCTGAAAAAGACAATGTTGAGGAAAACAACTTTTGCAATGGCATAGGTAAAATGAAGTAAGGGAATGAGACAAAGCCAGAAACATGATGAAGTTGAAGAGAAAGAGAAATTTTCAAACAAATATGTCCATCAAGCATTTAAAACTATAATGCAATGGTCTTGAGAGGGGATCCAGTTGAATATAAGGACTTAGCGATCTCTTCATGGCATAGGACGTAAATAAGTGAGGGAAGTCTGAATGAAATAGGCTATAGCTCTGCCTTAACCAGGTAAGGGTGGGGGGATGCTGAGATAGCTGTCTATGGATTCAATACTATTCTAGTTATATTTTTAAAAATAGAACTATATGGTTTCTATAGAAAATAATGCTCAATTATTTAAAATGAGAGGCATATAATTATAATTAGCAAGAAATAAAATGGGTATTATTAGATATAGGTTTTATGTGTGGTTCATGGAGAATAGGTTAAAATGAAAATGGGCTTTCGGGTCAATCTCAGAAGAGGAGAGTGAAAATGCATGCTAACATCAGTGACTCCCATGACCACACATCCAGCTTCAGAACTAGCTTGATGACTTGGGTTAAAATATGGCATTTATTCTGAATGTGACATTCCAAGACTGTCATAGAGACATAAGCTGAGTCAAGGGCTCATGGAAATAAAGGGGACTATAACATTTTAAAACAACCTTAGATTTTTGGATTTAAGCAGAAACTAAGTTATGACTCAAAACTCAGTT